GGGGAGGAGGGGAGGGAAAGGGAGAAGGGATTGACATCTGAAGCAAGCTTGTTCCTAATTTGAACTAATAAAATAAAATAAAAATAAAAAAAATGAAGTGGTTCTAGCTGGGTGTTGGTGGTGCACACCTTTAATCCCAGCACTTGGGAGGCAAAGGGAGATGGATCTCTGTGTGTTCAAGGCCAGCCTGGTCTACAGAGCGAGTTCCAGGACAGGCTCCAAAACGATACAGAGAAACCCTGTCTCAAAAAAAAAAAAAAGTATTTCTACACCTTTAAAGAAAACTATCTACAAGTGTTTCCTGTCTTTTAAAGGAGGCAGGATTGATAGAGGATAATAGGAACATAGCATATGTGTTCATTCTATTTGTGTGAAGAATGGGATATAGATGGGAAAACAAATGGCAAGAAGCTTTGAACACGGGCTTCAAAGTTCTAAATTCCCCTGAGTTCTGCCTACTGTTAAAAACAGTTCCCTTTGTTGAGTGAGTAAGTCCCTCCCTTGTCAGAATTCCCTTTAATAACATTCAGCAAAGGGAGTACTAATTCTCTCAAAGCCAGTCTCCAGGACACTGTCCTGCCACCAGACCTATAAATAGAGTCAACTCCACAGTGAAGGAGTACAACTAGAAATTCTGACCTTAAAAAACACAATGTATGTTATGAAAATCATCAAGAAATTTCAAAAAACCCTTAGCAAATATCATGTAAGTCAACCATAGATTAATCACAAGAAAAATATTAAATATCTGGAGCAAAGCAGGAAAATAAATATGTAGCTTAAACCCCAGGACAACATAAGTCGAATTTTATACCAGAAAAACAAAACACGTTATTAGCAAAATCTGTAACAGTGCTACAGATGCCCATCTGGTTTGATACAGCTGCTTTGCTGCAATGCTGTGAACACTGAGGGCCATAGAATATAACATTCAGCAGGACACCAGGATGCTCAAGAACAGGAAGTCCCTTTTCCACATGCAGTTTATGGTACACCTCCATCAAATTAAAACAGCTGTCCCAAATTAAAAATATCAAATAAAACTGCCTAATTGATCAACTGCCCTAAATAAATCCTATATTTAGAAACCATGAAGGATGGAAAAGATGTTGGAAAATTTAGTTTTGCATTTTATAACTCTAAGGTTGGAGGCCGAGACATTTCATGACTTGGAGGAGGCTCAGCATTAATTAAGAGAAATGAGAATTATTTCTCTCCACTTATTCTGTTGCCTGAAGCTTCCCACAAAATGCCTGCTGTCGTTTTTTTGTGTAATGGATTAAATATAACAGTAGATATGTAGAGCTTGCAAAAAATATAATCACTCTCTGTCTTGAGATATATTATTTATGAATGGCACATATAATCAACAACAGAAAAGGTTAAACTAGGTTCATTTTTACAAGTTCCACTTTCAATTCAAACACAAAAACTAAAGCTGCCTTATTAGCAAAATTATGAAATGATCTTAGCTTATGTATATAATTTATTTATAAAACAATAGGTTTAAGATAATTTTCCTTAAAGAACATGAAAAACTAAACCATTTGAACATTTAAGTAAATGAAAAATAAGATGTACAAAAAAATCAATAATTTCTTTGCAATTTGACATTATTACACCTTTAATATTTCTCCTTGGTTTCTGATTAGCTTAGCTGTAGGTTATAGAAATAGTAAGAACAAAAATGTTCCGTTGTTTTTTCTGTTGGCTTAGTAGCCGTACCTGAATCTACTGATATTTTATCTACCATCTCTGCCCTGCTGCACCACAGTCAGTACCTTACCAATAAAGACTCAGGAGTCAGACATGAGGTGAAAACCTGCTACATCAGAGAAGCTTCAGAGTAACCATCTGCCCTTTCTTTTTGGCTAGAGCCTCAGCAAGAAAGCTTCTCTCCTTCCATCCCAATCAAAAAGGCCTGGGAATCTCGATGTCCCTCCCTACTCCTTCCTGTGCATCTCTCCATCTGTATTCCTGGATTCTCCATCCTCTCTATGGCTAATTCCTGTCATCTAGTCGCTGGCTCCACCCCCTAATCCAAGGTTAATTTTTACAATTCAGTCTCAGTTTCACACTGAAATCAATTGTCCAGAAACAGTTTTTTCCTCAAAAACTTTTAGAGTTCCTAGGAGCCTTCTAGGGTTTATATTCAATTGGAAATTTAAAATACATATTTCTACACAAATTACTGTGCAATATATAAAATATTGTTGAATGCCTGCTCAAACATCTTCTAAGAAAATCTGAATATATAATAAACTGACCCAGAGACGTACTAGATAAGTTATACATAACAAATTTTTACTTTTGCTTTGTTTCAAAAAATAAAGCTTAGGATAGCCCATCCAGATGTGGAAAATTATCATCAGAACACAAATTTAGTTAGATAATGAAGAAGCTGCTATCTTGGCATGGTATCATATCATAGCATGAGGGAATAGTTTGTGCACACAGGGAAAAAATTAAAGCAAAAGTAAAGAGGCAGGACAGAAAGAAGGAAGAATAACATATAACAGCACACCACATTTGCAGTTTGATGTTGGCTGAGCCAGTAAATATAAAGATACTATATCTGAAAATAATAAACTTTCATTTATCAACATAGAAATAGCCATGGTTAATGTAAAAACAATTAATAGACTTAATTCAGAGCTAAGTGCTAACATCGTAGAGTAGCCCTTTCAATCGCTTGTAATTTAAGACTCCCCAGAGCCTTGTGAATGGCAAGCTTATTAATATGAACCCTCCCAACACTCAGTGCCATGACATGAAGTGTCTGTTCAGGAGGTCATCTCCAAAATGCACCCCATACATCTTCATGCACAGGAGATGATAATGTATCACCCAGACAGAAGGATCTACTGTAAACTAATCCAAACTGCTGCTGATACACTAAATCAGTTTGAGTGATCCATATAAATGAAGCTGGAAGCAAGGTACCGAAGGATACAGATCCACCTGATGAATGAGATGCCATGAGGCAAATGAAATGCAGTGTTGACAAAGACTCCCTTGGTTGAAAATTAACCAAATCAAGTACTGGAGCATAAAATTGCACGGTGACACTAGCTTCAGATGAAAATTTATTTTAATGTTTTTTTGTTTGTTTGTTTTTAGCAGTTTCAGATAAAGCTGAACAGGCTGGGTCAGTGGAACAGAATGTAGGATGTAACGTAGGATGCATTCAAAATAATACATTTTACATCCCACAGAAAATATGACAGGATAAGGAAAAGGGCTGCAAAAAGGTTCTTCCCAAATAGCTTAACTACAGTCACTCAATCTGATGAGCAAATAACATGTACACAGTTAAAGAGAAATAATAAAAATTGTATGCAGAAAATGATTTCATATCAGCTTGCCACCAGGGATCCAAATTCAATTTATATTGCCCTTATGAAAACCTAAATGTTTTCTGAAACTGTCACGTTACCAATTCGATGAGGAAAACAAAGAGGTGGGATAAGGGAGGATATTCCTCCAGATAGTTTATATTCATGGAGGGCACTCTTTGAGGTGAAGCAAAAAAAAAAAAAAAAAAAAAAAAAAAAAAATTTTCTAAA